TACTACTTTGGAAGACATTTTGGCAGCCTCTCATCTCAGGGGTATCTCGTTTAAAGCAGGGGTGGCATCAGAGGCAGCTAAATTAAGTAAGTAGCCCGAATATGAGTCTCTGAGAAATGAGTACATATTTGTGCCATTTGCTGTAGAGACTATTGGTCCGTGGGGTTCACGTACGGTGAAGTTCCTAAAGAAATTATCCGCGACTGATCGTCGCTGCTAATGATAAGAGGCCTACTTATTTTCTCGCTCAAAGGCTTAGTTGTAAATAACTGATAACTATGCAATTAGTTATTGTTAAAGGTTATATCTTTTTTTATATCTTACCCGGCACATTGCTGCCGCATAAGAAATAATTATAGGAATATTGTTATAAATTTGGAATAGTTATATTGTTTTATGTGGATGATAATATAATTATTGAAATTGAATGATCTATAACTTTCAAATAAATTGTCAGTACAAATTGACGTATTAATTGATACATTTATTTATAGTATGGCATTATATTAACATGATACATAAATAGAGTGGAAGTTACGGGTAGGCCTGGGTATATAATTTTTATCGAGATATTTAATCATACTGTCTTATCTCTATTATTAGTTCTGTGGACGTTCACTTCTGCTGTCAGCGTCAAAATGGCAAAAATCAAATTGCTTCATTATGTCACGGACGGTGTATAGCCAGTCCATATATAGAGGTCAGTGGTGCACACGGTGTATGTGCAAAACTGCAGAAGAGGTAGGGTAAACTCATTACGACGATTTAGGCAAGTGATTATACAGGGTTATTTTGTAGTAATCGGCCAAATTTGCAGGAGAAGGTTCAGAATAAGTAATATAGGCAAATGATGACGAAAAATTAATTCAAAATGCATGGTAATGCATTTATTTTAACTGATTTTACTACGTACGCACACATTCGTAAGGGTCGATCCGTAGGCAAAAACGTTGTTGCTCATAAATCACATTCAATTCGGGATAGTTTCAAATAAAAGTATAATCCTTATATATTCGTATTTTCAAAAACTGCAATAACGGTATATCATTACTTTATATTTGAACTTAAGTTTAAAATTTGGCTACTCTTTGTAAAATAACCCTCTATACTCTTTGGATTTAGGTGCAGAATGCAGATCAAAGACATAAAATAAGGTGCAGATTTCCCAATATAAATTAATAATACTTTCGTCTATGGTGCAGATGACATAATTTTAATAACTTAACTTTATATATGTACTAGCTGTGCCTCGCGGTTTCACCCGCGTATATCTCGCTTCTGAGACGCGTGACTTGAGACGTCGCTTATAGAGGCGTCCACTACTGGTTTTTCTCGGTTCTCATCGGGTTGATAGGGTTATTCGCACGCTGAGCCGAGTATTAAATTATATTAATTTTTCATTATTTGTCAAACTACGCGTCCAAAAAACCTGCTATAAAAATAAAAACTTATCTTCGTAAAATTGTTTTGATGATAATATAATTTTCTTTATTAAGGATTAATATGCCATACTTATTAAAAACGCTCATAAATCACTGTTTAATTTTTAGTAATTTTTATCACAAAATATCTTGTTGTGGCTTATGTAGCCTAGACCGTATGGTCTAAGACTTTTGCCGTGTTTAATTGGCGAATTGAAATAACAACAACTCTCTGAGGAGAGTGGAGGAGAGAAGAAAAATATACTCTTTGACTATCTAGTGTTTCCACTATGAAGGCAATTACCCTATTTAAGGGAATCCAGACGTCAGAAGGGGATTAAAAGGGGAAACGACTAGAAAGGGTAAATCATGCTCAAGTCATTATAATAGGTCGGGGAAATGTTTCCTCGTATTTTGTTTTATTTAAAATTGAAAAAAAATATATCTTTGGTATTAATGTTTGTATCTGCTTGGTTTTAATAGCAATACATAAAGGACATTAGGAATAGATAAATAAAAAGTAAAAAATACTTTCCCGCTATTTTTCAATTGTTTTTCTATCATCCAAAATGAGTAAATCTAATGAAGAAATCCGATATATTCTGAAGTTATATTACAAAAAGGGAAAAAATTAGTGATGCATATGGATTTAATGCAGTGTGAGTAAGAGTAGCACAAAGTTGATCCAAGTGTTTTCAGTTCGGGAATTTTGATGTCACAGATGCAGCTCGCTCTGGACGCTCTCATACGGATAAAGTTGATGTCATTTTTGGAAAATTAGAGCAAGATCGGCATATTAGTAGTTACGACATAATCGGAAAATTGAGGATTGATCACAAAACAGTTTTGGCCCATTTGAAAAAGTCTGGCCATACAAAAAAGCTCGATATTTGGGTACCACACGAACTCACTGAAAGAAATCTAATGAATCGTGTACCTACTCATTTGCGATTCTCTATTGAAACGTGACGAAACCGAAACATTTTCGAAAAGATCACTGGTGATAAAAAGTGGATCACCTACGACAAGAATGTGCGCAAAAGATGTGAATGTGCGAAAATTTGGTCAAAGGGTAGTCAAGCTCCACAGACTGTAGTGAAACTCGGATTAACACGCAATAAGGTGACGCTGTGTGTATGGTGGGATTGAAAAGGCATCATTTATTATAAGCTTTTACTGCCGGGCAAAACCATCGATTCGGATCTCTACTGCCAACAGCTAATGAGACTCAAGCACGAAATTGAGAAAAATGGCCGGAATTGATCAACAGAAAAGGAGTGGTCTTTCATCATGACAACACCAGACCACATACATATTTGGCCATTCAGCAAAAACTGAGAGAGCTTGGTTGGGAAGTGTTAATACATCTACCATATAGTTCCGACCTTAATTCTCTGATTTTCACCTGTTTCGGTCTCTTCAGAATTCTTTGGGTAGTGTTAGGTTAACTTCAAGACAAGACTGTCAAAACTACTTGTAATTTTTTTTAACAAAAATTCTAAGATTTTTTTTTACAGCAATGGGATTATGTCATTACATACAAGATAGCAACAAGTTATTGTATATACGTAATAAAAATTTGAAAAAAAAAAGGCTTAAATTTGTATATAAAATAAAAAGAAACTATTTCCCCAACCTTATATGAACAGTGGATGTTACATTCTTATAAAAAAAGTGACAAATGAACTAACTGTCCCTGATGGTAAATGACTATTGCAGTCCACGGTCACTTGTAGCCAACTTCAAACAAAGAAGACTATAGACGCGTTGCCATCTTTGAGGACTAAATGTGCAGTGCCCTTACAGCTTGTCATTACATTGGCTCTCTATACCCTTCAGACTGGAACACAACACTGCAAGTACTCTATACCACTTACAAAAGAGACACTTTATGGATACAAGATCACTTTATGGACTCAAGATTTTAGCATTAGTATATTAATAAAACAATATTAGCAAAACAATACTACCCACCAAATACCCACCAAGTAGCGGCTAGCAAAGCAAGAGTTAATGGGAGCCATATAGAAAGCAGGGTGACAACTATTGCGAGCCATGACAAGTCTTACGAGATGGGAAAATTCTAATGGCGTGGAGCAAAAGCATCACATACTTGTTTTATAAGAAAAGTGATAAGACTATTTTGAAGAAATAACGACCCATCTCGCATCCGAATCACGCCTTGCGACTCACTATTTGACTCGCGTGAAGACTTGAAGAATTTCGACCACCCAACCTGGTTTGGTTTTGAGGAGGAAAATGAGTATAGTCAGCCTCTGTATCTTGTTTTTGTGAACTATGACTCCATCGAAACTGTTGTGGATTTCTCGTAGTGGTGCCGGATTGACTGGCGACATATTGGGAAAATATTATCTAAACATTGATCTATGTAATCCATCCAACAAAACCTACTGAATGAAATGGCAATGGGATGGCCTCGTCTGTCATAGAAGTGATAAGCATTAGAGTAAACGTGTCATAGAGTAGCCACCGCGCTTAGATAAACAGTAAAGGATGTCCCCTCGCCTATCCAGATGGAGTGAAAACCAACGATCTGTGCAAGGTGACTTGGCTGACAGCAACTGGATGCATGTGGCCAAAGTTCAGGCTAAGTGGTTGCTTTGCCCACCAGTGGATTACCTCAGGCTGATAATGATAATTATGATTAAAAATAAAAGGGAAAATGCCTAATAATGGGCAAACTTAATACAGACATACTTCATATATAGGAAACTAAGGCCAGCCACGAATCACACACACGAATTAGGATTCCGTGAATACATCACACACATACGTTTATTTCCGTTTGGCATAACAAGGCTGAGTTGAGAGACTCAGCCTTGTTATTCTGGCAGCAAATAATGACGACGATTTTCTGATTGCGATTCCATTGCTGCTCTATCATTGTTACTGGGTGCATCCCCTTATCACACAAAGCTTGCAGTATAGTCAATATTATGTAAAAATATTTATCTATGAAGAGTTATTTTTTTAAATATGGATATCTGTAAACCTTTTTGACGTTTTATTAAACAAAATAAGATGAAAGGTTACGAAAAGCTATACACATATAAAATTAAATGTAAAAACGTACATAAACACACCTACTCGCTTCGGTTGTGCGACGAACACTGAGGCTGAGCACGTTCCGTACGGAATTTACGAATGTGTGTTGCGAATCATACAAAATCTATGGAGGACTTGCGTCCGAAGCGGTTTTTATCTGTTCGGGATTCCGAACGCACAGGCGGTCATACGGAATCTCGAATCAGAGAAAATACCGTACGGAAAATTACCGTTCGTGTGTGGCGGGTCCTAGATTTTATATGGAATTCATAGATAAATAAATGATGGAATTGCTGCGTTCGGAATTCCGAATCGAAATATCGAAACGGTATCCTGTAACGGAATGCCGTATGTATTTGGCCGGCCTTACTATACTCTTTGAGACATAGGTAATAGGGAACTGAAATCGTTAAAGTGGAAACACTGGTCGTACTTCCGAATTTCGATTTCTGAACTTTTCTACTTTGTTAGTTTGTTACCTTTCCCGTACAGTGTTTATTTACCATAATAAAAATGGATATTTCGAGAAGTGTTTTATGTTTTCTCTTTGTTTTCTGTTCTCTTTTTTATACATTAACATGTGCAGATGTATGTGTAAAGAAAAGTTCATGCATTTGTGAGTTTCCCAATGGAACCGGTATCGACTTGACACCCACTGTAAAATCAACATTTTATTCAGCACAAATTTATGAAATTAAGAGTGGTGGGAATCAGTATGTTCTCAGCACATACTTTTATCATCCATGTTTTGATGCGCTGCCAAATGTAAACCAAACTGTGTCAAATAACACTTGTACCAAATCTTTGTCTGTGAGTACTTGGGTTTTTATTTATTTACGCTGGAACTGGTTTAAAAAACTATTACGTGTAGTATTTGTCTGCATTTTCATAATTTTTGTATAAGAAATTTGTTTTATGCAATTATAATAATTATAAGTTTATAAGAATAACATATTCACTAATTTACACATTATTATTTCATGTAATTGGAAAATATATTCATTGTGGATGTCCCCACGATTTTTTGTGTCATCAGGGCGGTGCCACGTGCATGAGGTTAAATATTGGACAGATTTCATGACGAGGAAGTTAATTTGTTAGGAAAAGGGGGTTTGCTATAGACGTCAGGTACTTCATTTTAATTATGTTTTCAATTTAGGAGGCTTGTCAGGGTTAATCTTGAACCTTTAACACTGTTTTTGAATGTCGGAAATGCGTTTTAAATTAATTACGATAAAAATAAATTTCACTTAAAATTGCTTATAATGAAACACAAATATGTCAATTTGGTCTAGTATTAAAAAGTAGATGTCTGGTACTTGATTTTAATTATGTTTTTAGTTTTTTCTGAAAAACCTTTGACTGGTCTCGGGTTGGCTATAGACGTCCGGTACTTGATTTTAATTATGTTTTCAGTTTAGCAGGCTTGTTAGGGTTAAGCTTGAACCTTTTACACTGTTTTTGGATGTCGGAAATGTGTTTTTAATCAATTACGATAAAAATAAATTTCACTAAAAAGTGCGTATTAACGAAATGCAAATATTTCAATTAGGTCTAGTACTATGAAGTAGGCGTTCGGTACTTGATTTTAACTATGGTTTCAGTTTAGCAGGCTTGTCAGGGTTAAGTTTGAATCTTTTACACTGTATTTGGATGTCAGAAATGTGTTTTGAATTAATTACGATAAAAATAAATTTCAATAAATATTGCGTCAACAAAATGCAAATATGTCAATTTGGTCTAGTATTATGAAGTAACATCGAGTACTTGATTTTTATTATGTTTTCAGTTTTGGAATATTAGATAAGACACATTATTTTATTTTATCGAGCGGATGTATGCGAAGTAATTTTTTACCAACTAATAGGTTAGTTATAGTTAAGTACCGTTCCACAAAGCCATGCTGGTTATCCAGAATAATTTTCTCATGTTTTTCATGTAACTATAGCATGTCTCCAGTGTTTTGGTACCTCACCTGAATCATATGATTCATTCATAATATTGACCAAGTCTAGTGTGGTGGCCCAGGCCCAGCAGCAGAGTTTACATTTAGGGACTTGAGAACCGTAAGCAAATCCTGTGATGTGAAATTGATGTCATCTATGGAGTTTTAAGCTATTGGTGTAGCTATGGAGATATTAAGGTCGGGTTAAAATGGGTATGCTTTCTCAAATTCACAAGCAAATACTTCGGTATTTGTAGCCCCTTCAACCAGAAGATTGCCAAGTTCATCAGATACCACAGGCGGCAGACCAACTTTAGAAGACATGCAACTGTGTAGGTGGGCATAGAAGAGTTTATTTCCACTCTTGACAATTTTAGCTTCATAAAGACTTGCTTCAATAACACACCTGATATTGCAGTCTCTGTAGGCCTTATATTTTGCATCACATTTTTTGTTTGCTACATACGAGTCCCATAGAATCTTTTCTGTTTGTCAATTCTACAATGGAAGCATTTATCCAGTGTTTATTTAGATTTTTCTTTTTTCTAACTATATTGAGAGGAGCATGTTGGTCTAAAACTATCTCCACTTTATCCTTCAGGTCCATCCACTATTCATCTACTGATATAATCCAATCATGATTACATTACATGTCTTTGAGCTCTGCATTAACAATATCATAGTTTATTTTATGTACAGTAGAATTTCGATTATCCGGCCCTCAGTTATACGGATTCGCGATTATCCGGACTATCAACCGTGACCAGTTAAATAATTAAGTCATATTGAGCTAAGTTACAAAATGTTTAACATAACATGTACTGCTAGTCGAATTTATGCAAGCATGAACGTATCTGAATTGGCGGAACTTTTAGAAGACGCTTTGTATTGTTGGTTTTTACAAAAATAATCAACTGGGCGATGGATGGGCCCTTTGCTCTGTGAAAAAGCATTACAGTTAAATAAAAAATTAGGTGGCGATGACTCGTTTCTCGTAAGAAACGGATGATTATGATGATTTAAATCTCGGCATGGAATTCGTGAATTAGAAATAAGTTGAAAAAAATGTCAGCTAATTTAGACGCAGGAAACTCTTTCAAAGACGATTTTAAGAAGAAATTGGATGAAAATAATATATAACTTGGATTTTGTTTAAAATGCTGATGAACCCGGATTAAACTGGAAGTCATTACCTTCAAAATCGTTAGCTTCTAGATGATAGAATTCAGCTCCAGGATATAAAACTAGCAAAGAGTGATTAACAATATTACTTTGCGCTAATGCTACAGGGACCCATAAAAATTTTTACTCCTCATCCGAATATCAAAAAAACCCAGATGTTTATAAATATCAGGGTGCCCATAATTTATAAAAATCATAAAAGTGCATGGATCAACTCTGAAATGTTCATTGACTGCTATGACATCACTTTTATACTTGAAGTAAAAAAAAGACAAAACGAAATTGGCAAAGAAGGAAATGTATTACTTTTACTGGATAATGTGCCCAGTTTGCGGCCGTTCAGCCGAAGGATGGGTTGGCGGCGTCAAAGTTAAAGAGAGAAAATGGAAAGTTTAAAGTAAAACTTTTGCCGCATGTGACATCCTTGCTACAACCAATGGATCAAAGTGTTATTGAAACATTGAAATGACTTTATAGAAAACAACTTTTACGTAGGTTATTATCTGTTGATGAAGATAATGTAGAAGTTGTTTTATCATTTTTTAAGGAAATGAATTTAAAATAGGTCCTCAACCATGGTTGTAGATTCGTGGGATTTGATTGAAAGGAAAACTTTAAACAAGGCTTGGAACGGAGTACTTAATCGGGAGAATGAAAATTCAATAACCAATACGGATGATTCTATTTTGAATGATATAAATGAGTTAATGTTAAAGATACAAATATGCCAGGATTGTGATGATGATGATATCAAAGAATGAATCACATGTGACAGTAATGATCAAGGCTTTCAGATTATGTCGGATGACGAAATCGTAGAAAACATTGCAGATGAATGAACAGCAAGAGACGCAAGAAGATGAAACAAAAGAAAATTTAGACGTGGAAAATGATGCAGGACCATTTCATGATTAAGCACCTCAGGTCCTAGAAACAGTTCTTAAGTGGTTTAAAAAAAAACAGAGAGTGATACTGTGAGTTTACTACAGCTGAAACGAATTCGTGATATAGTAGCAATGAAGAGAAAAAGTGGCTTATGTCAAATAACAATTACCAAACATTTTAAACCAAAGTAAACTTATTATTTTATTTCACGATTACCAAATGCATAATTACCAAAAACATATTGTAAACAAATTATACGTATCTAAATATTTTATTTCATGATTGAGTGTGTAATCTAAGAAAATAATACATATTATGTATGTATAAATAAGTACATACGTCGTATGTTGGCAAATGTATCTCTTAATAATTTTCTTAATAAACATTGATTTTCGTTGATATGTATTTGTTGTTTTATATATATAAAACGATACTATATACACAAAACCCGCTTTTCTGCATACATTCGATTATCTGAATCCCTAACGACAACAATTAGTCCAGTTAATTGAGTTTCCACTGTAAAGCACATATAAATAATCCCTGCGTTTGCAGTTTCTTCCTCCCCCATACATGCCCTGCACAGGGGACTATCTGTAACACCTATGGTAAATAAAAATGGTTTGTTAAAGGAGCCATGTCCTGTGATTCTTGTTCAATCTCGTTAGAATCTTGGTTAAATGACTGTTTATTTCAGGAAGGGCCTCCCTAGCTTGTCTACAGTCTACAAAGTCTTTCCAAAGCTGAGCGTGTTGGTTAATGAAGTTTTTACATACCAGTGAGCGAACCTTACCAAAGGGGATAGGTATGTTTGGTTCCGGCCCTATAGTGACCAGAGCTGATACTCTCCTGGCAGTTCGTCTGCTGCGTCGTTGCCCATGGATTCACTATGTTCCTTTATTTATTGCAGAGTCACATTGTTGTCCCGAGTTTACCACATTGCAACTCAGAGCTTGTAGTACCGCCATGTTGTCGGTCTGTATTCTGATGGAGGACTCTTTTACTTTCCTAGCATCTATTGCTATGACCGCTTGGATGATACCCGTACATTCTGCCTGAAAGACTGTTTTGTGGGTACCCAGCGGTGTACATATGTAGATATTAAGGTCTGAGAAAGTTCCAGATCCTGTACCCTCATTAGTTTTGGAACCATCCGTGAAATTCTGAGTTCTTTTGGGTTTAAGCTCTGGCTGATTAGTTTCATTTAATTGTATCTTGTATTTCTTATCAAACACAAATTGTTTAGGGATCTTATGGTATTTGGCTTGTAAAATGGGAAATTTGGAGTAAATTCTGTCAATTGTACCTGTATGGCGGACTCTACTCTTATTTCATAGATTTAGGGTCTTGAGTCTGATGGCAGCTAAAGTCGCTTCTTGATGTATGCTGTATAGCTGGAGTTTTGTGCTGAAGAGACTTGGGAGGTGATAGTTATTCTGCTTTCGTTTTTATGTGGACATTACTGAACCGTTAGAAGCCGGTAAAACCGAACCTTTTTGATCTGGAGTGTTTGAGATTCACCCAGAATGTATTACTATACTATACTATATCTTATTGTTCGTGTATTGAGCATGTTTACTGTACAGTCAATCAGAGCTGGTTCAACTTTATACTACTTAGTGCAGCTTTTATGCTTGAGAAGTACGTTCTGATAAAAGCACTATATCTATGAAGGAACCTAGACATATTCATTTGTTTTGGATGGCCTCTTCAATGTTTGTTATTACGTGGTGAAGTGCCGATTGTATCGATTTACCTAAGCTATTGGTGTGTTGCTTATCGTGTAGTGGTAAGTTCATTAGCGCCGACCTCCTTAATTCCCTTTCACACATCCTCTCCATCGTCTTTAGGAGAAAGGATGTGAGGCTAATGGGTATATAAGATTTAACGTCTGTATAGTTGCTCTTACCTGGTTTGGGTATGAATGTAACTTTCACTTCCCTCCACCCCTAGGGACATATTTAAGAGACAGACAAGCTCTCATTATGGCGACAAGTCTGACTATTAGGGATTTACGCCCCACTGTAGGAGTGCCGGGAATATGCCGTCTGGTCCTGCCGCCTTATAGGAGAGGAAACTGTGAATGGCCCATTGGATTTTATCCATTGTTACTACTCTCTGTGCTAAATTTCAGTCTTCTGCTGTTGGTGTCAGTATATCGTCAGGCCGGTTTACCCCCTGAGCTACGAAGCAACCCGGGAAGTGCATTTCAATTAGGATGCGTTGGGTATCATCTGGCGATGTTGAGAAGCTTAGCATCAACAGCTTTTTTCAAAATCGGAACTTGAAACAGCCCCTCGAGACATGGAACTATGCATAGGAACAACATTGTACGTTTGGTTTTTAGGCCCATTACTTTAATTTCACTGCTAGTAAGTCCACTACAGGTAAAACACAAGTTTACACCCATCACATTGCACTGCATCCTCCATATTTACACTTTTTACACACTAATAACACTTCGTAATCGACATTTTCGCTAAGTTTGAATGTAAATACACCATGCATATTGATTTATAATCGAAATTTACAGTAGTAGCAGTACACCAACACAATTGCTCACTTTGAAGGTAGACGGGAAAGCATTATATATGAAAATTAGTAACAGTGAAAAACTATAAAAAACTACGGGGGCAATTGATCAAGGTACAACTGAACAGCATCGGGTCGCTCGCGCAAGTAATGCGCGTCTGGCCCTAACTTTATCATGAGGCAGAGGTAGAAGAGACTTCTCCTCTCCTACGCATGCACGCTACACCTATGCTCCACATATCCGCGGCAAGAAAACACACAACACTGAACACGTTATGCTTAAAAAGTAGTTTTTTCTTAATACTTTAATAACTTTATATTAAATGAAGATATCACAATATTTTTTTAGACAACAAGTGTCTAAAAAATAAAACTTAGAAAACCTAATTGAAATCTATCCAATATTTTTTCCGTGACGCCCGCACAACTGCAAACCTCTATAATTTTATTTATATAGATTTAGTTAGTTTATCGCTTACATCTGTTAAGATTATAAATTTTTTGTTTGATTTTTATGTTTTTCTTCACATATATTATATTGATGATTTATTAAATGTATGTAATCAGTTAAAACATATTTAAGAAATATTAAAATACTAATATCATTATGCATTTAAACAATTCCAGATATGTCGACATGTTAACAACTTTGACTTGGTAAATGCAACGGGACTTTTTAAAAAAGATAGTGGTATCTATGAATACATGGGAAGTTCAAATTTTACTGAATTCAGTAGTGATGGACAATCAATTACATACCATAATGATCCTTCGTAAGTAATCTTCTGGTCAGTTTTTTCAATTTGAAACTTAGTTATTTCAATATTCATCAAACAATAAACTTTTAAGGGATTGGCAATTATTGCTGCTCTTGGTGGGCAGATATTAGATCATGCCTGGATATTTTGGTCAGTAATAAGAGAATGGTTCATGTTTACTCATATTTATCATTTTTGCATTTCATGTACGAGAAATAAATGAAATGAACATAGTCTTTTCCAGTGAATGTCCAGTTATGTTTTTGAAATAATATACACAAACATTACATTAGCTGTTTACACCTAAGTAGCTAATAATTGTGTCCTGCACTGATTTGTTTTGAAAAGGAGTATTTTATCAGCTTAGTAACTGTATTTTAATAACCTTTAAATTAAAAAAAAAATCCATAAAAAAATTGCCATGGGCTGCATAAAGGAATCCACCAATCGACTCCTATTCTTTCGCTCGCTCCTGTTTCATCTTCCTGGTAACAACTTAAAACTGCGGTTGTTAACCAAGCCAAGCCGGCCAAGTGTGGCTACTACCATATTATGTGTAACAAATACTAATAGTGGGTCAACTTCTTTCTTATACCGCAAAATACAGCCTACAAGACTGTCATGACATCTAGTCACTCAAAATATGCAAAAACATTTCCTTAGTTAATAATATCGTATTATATTATATTTTATCTGTATTCCTCCTAATAATTTATTTTTCTATACAAAGATACAAACTACCTACTACTTTAAAAAAAAACTAGTTCTATCCTGCAGCTTAACCTGAATCGTCGTGATAGAAACAAAGGCTTGTGCTTGTGGTAGCTAGTAGGTCTTGCAAATATTTAAAAATTTATGGTATTCGAATATTCGACTTTTTTCGGGTATTATTCGAGTTATTCGAATAATATTCGAATAATTAAAAAAAAAACAAAAGTTGTTATAATAATCATGTTTTTAAGAGCCAATTTCTTACTTAGAGTCTAATTTCTCTCAATAAAAACAAAATCTTAGTTAAAAATGAAAGAACTGTTTGGAATTTCACTGTTAAGGAACTAATTCTACAAAAGCAGTTCTACAAAAAACTATAAAAAGTTGGTGCTTAACAAGATCGCGACCCATCGTTGCTCTCTAAATATATGTTAAATATATGCTACTATGTAGCAAAATATTCCCCCTATGAGGTAATCTGTGCCTGAAACCTATATTCAACAGTGAGCTTATGATGGGCTGTCATGATGATAATTATGATGATGAAATCAAAAAGAAAAATAAATGTCAAACAAAATTTCTGTACAATTTTACTATTCCTCATCATGTTACAAATTTTAAGACTAAGACTTCCAGCCTCTCGAAAGTGCCGGTATTCGTAACTGGAGAAGCACGGTGGCTTTATTGCTCTACAACCCTCTTTGAAATGAGAAAAGGCTTGTGCCCAGAAGTAAGGCATATATTATATAGGCTATAACTTAACTTAATAATAGATTAATTGGTTTAAACTAAACGGTTTTTAATTTGTGAAAATTTTATTTAAGTAAATTGTTACACGCAAAAAGAAAGAGCCACATATGTGATGCATAGGTAGGTATAGATGCAAAACGAGGTTTATTTAAAAATTATATTATTAATAATAAGTTGTGCTTTTCTGAATTTTATTAGAAATTTAACCTCTTATATAACAACTCTTATATAAAACCCGCGTAAAAAACACATAGCTGATGTGAAGAATCGACGTTCCGTAAGCGAACGCGCCTGCAGTCTGTGAATACGTATAGGGTCGCCCTGAGACTACATTCGATTTGATAGACCACAAATACTTGCTAAAGAATACCGATTCCTTCCGATAATGATTTTTGAGGCTATTGCAATCAAAAAACACCCGAATTTCATTAGAGAAGATGGCTGGGTATTACAGTCTGCTTGGGATCTTTTACTTTTTTTTATAGGATAGGGTGACAAACGAGCACACACTCCACCAGGTGGTAAGTAGTTGCTGTGGCCCATGGACATCTACATTTAATCCTCGTTTGTGAAACAAAATGCAGATGATAAAGTTAAATCTAAACTCAAACATACAACTGCAAGATTTCAAGATACTAGACTTCAACATAGTTCATACAGTGTAGATCGAACAAAAAATTTTTAATTTTAATCTGAAGGTAGCCATGGTTAACTATGACATTGGGAAACCCCATGACCATGGATGCTGTAAAGTACTTGAAATGTCGAAAATCTATACATATAATAAAACTGTAAATAGCAGATGTCTGTACATTTTATATTTTTGTAATAAAAGTGATTGAGGGGTACTAAAAATAAGTAATTAAATACATTTCTACCATTTTTAGAATTTTCTGTCTGTCTGTCTGTCTGTCTGTCTGTCTGTTTGTTTGTTAACGTATCACGTATAAAGTACTAATTTATATCATAAGAATTGTTAAGGAAATTATAAAGTGTATCTTCGGGTTACATTTAGTCTTTATTTCATTAAAATCAGTTCATTCCATCAAAAGTTATGATAAATATTCTGAAGTATGGGTAGGGAAGTATAGGTACGAATGTGCTCAACGGTGGCTTTGTTTGAGTCATCAAGTGCATTTTAAACTAATATCATATCATAAATCATAGTTAAATTATGTAAAATAATGATATAATTATGTATATCTAAAACGCAGTAAACAAAAGTATTAAAGAACGTATTAAATATATTATACAAAAATATATTAACCTTATTAACTAAATCTGAAGCACAATAGTTAACCCATTTCTTCGATAGATGGTGGTGTGGCATAAATGTGATACATAAAGGCAGGTTAAAATTTATTCCTGTAGTTGAGTTTCATATTTGCTTCTAACCTTTATATTAATGACACGCTGCCCTACTGCGTGTTGACAATCTCATTTATTTTTTATTTTTTTACCGCCGAGTACTCTATGTGGTAAATCAAATTTTAAGAGCTATTAACAATTTCATTTTTTGGCGAGGATCAAACTTTCTTTTTTGCTTACTATGCAGGCACTGATTTATAAGTTCTTTTATGTTTTTTATTGTATCAATCGTGTGAATTAATCTCTTATTTTTAGAATTGATGTTAACAGCGCCATCTCTCTTAAATCTATACATATAATAAAAATGGTAATAACATGTTATGTCTGTTTCTGAATATTGTATAGTATATTAATTTGCGACTAAAATCATTATTGGGACTGTAAATCATTAAATAAGTACATTTTTATAATTTTTAGAATTGTACTATCTGACGGTCTGTCTGTTTGTTTATGGACGCATGACGTTTTGAGTAAACATCTTTTTTTTTCAATGAAATCCTTAAGAAAATCATAAAGCGTATTATCAAGTTCATTTAATCTTTGTTTTATTGAAATTGGTTAATTCTATCGAAAGTCATGATTATTATTTTGAAATGTAGGTTCGAATTTGTTTAATGGCGCCACAAAATCCCAAAAATAGTAATAAAAAGATTCGTGTGTAAAAAAAACGTTCTATTATAATATATTTCGTATCGTTCTATTATAGTACTTAAAACACAGTAAAAATATGTTTTTCTTAAATTAAAAAAGGATGTTTTCTCACAAAGAACGTAATAGATGGCGTTGTACAAATTACAACCTTTTCTGAATTGCGGTGTTAAGATTTTTCGCAGGTGAATCGTATTGAGACTCACTGTAATAATTTATGTCCATGAGCCTGCCGAAGCTGCAAGCCTGTAAGGTATATATATATATATACAGAGGTATTGAAATATTTAATTATTCCACAAAACTCGACTAAAACCAAAAGTAGCAAAATTGCAATGAATGTCGTGATGGTGATATTGTTTTATAGCCAGAATCACTCTAATACCAAATAACTTTTTTTTCAGTTTTAAGTAAAGTTGCAGCCTATTTACGTCCCACTGCTGGGCACAGGCCTCCTCTCATTTCTGAGAGGGTTTTAGGGCAAGGAAATGTCCACCGCGCTGCCCCAATACGTGTTGGCGAACTTCACATGTCATCGAAATATTATTTTTTATTTCTCAAACATGCAGGTTTCCTCACGATTTTTTCCTTCACCGCCGAGCACGTGGTAAATCAGCACTTAAAATTGCAATTGACAATTTCATTGGTGCCGGCGGGGATCGAACCCGGGTTGCTCGAGTACTGTGAAGCTTACAGCGAGCGCTAACCATCTGAGCTACCACGGCTCAGGCTTCAGTTTTAAGATAGGGATAATAACATCGATGTTGGCATTGCTAGCTCAACATCGATGTTCGATGTTTAGGCCACTCAAAACATCGATGTTGACCATTATCGATGGTTTTTGTATATGTGTAGATAGTTACACATTGTTTTAAAATTATGTGGGTATACACAGCAAGGGAAAAGTAACAATTAACTTGAATATCAATTTACGTAGAATAGTTATTATGCGACAACCGACAACGACACTACAAAATAAAGCGAAAGCAGTGACCATTGTGACATTACAGGAGACACTTGACAATTAAGTTTGACTCACCATACTGACATTTTTTTAGATTAACGATGCGTTCAGAAATTCTGAATTATTCAAAATTTTTAATCTTCAGAGCAGATGCAAAATTTAGTTGATATTGATTTCGCGAGTTCGCATTGTTTGCAAGTTCCCAATTATCGATTATGGGTTCATTGACGTCGATGTTTCGATGTTTGACATATGTCAACATCGATGTTAAAACATCGAAGTTTTAATTTTTAACATCGATGATCATCTAACATCCCTATTTTAAGTGTGTTTCCCACTCAGCGTGTGTTATGCGACGATCGTAAATAAAGCGCAAGGTCAAACTTTACGCGTCAGTACTGATTGTTTTGCACATGGCCAGCTCTATATTGCTTTTTCTCGCGTTAGTAGTCCCCGTAACCTTTTTCTGTACGCCCCGGCTAAGTCTACTTCTATGGTCGTTTACACAGAAGCTCTATCATAAACGACTTAGAACTTTGAGAATATCGATTTATTTTGTTACCACTTATTCATAGAGTAATGATATAAATCGGTTAATATTCTCTTACCCTAAACGTCAAATTCTTTAAGTAAAACCTATATTCGCGAGCTACGCCGCGGGCACAGCTAGTATAAAATAAGTTAACATACGCGATAAAATCCGTGAAAGCTAATTTTATTTAAATGTAATCCAAAAACTTTAATATAATAATTATCTATACGTAAAGACGATTTTGAATAGTTCACTTCACCAAAATACTGAATTAGGTATTTTTCCACCACTTGTTATCATAACACCGGTTATAAACTTTCTCTAGTTGATTGTCCAACTGGTTATGGTAATATTTATACTTATTTGTGACTTCGTAGCTTCATGGTGAAAATATTAGTTAGTTTATACACGGCATCATTATATTTAATACAATACAGTAACTTTATTTCAGTCATCAAGAACTTAAAAATTAAGTACATTGGCCCATAGCAATATAAACCTGAATCTAAAAATATATATGAAACTTAAACATAACACTATTTAAGGGACTTTCTTTGGCGCGTCCCAGTATCGATACACTATCCCAGAGGGCCAGAAATCGGGAGCGCGGAGTGTCTCTGTGTATTTTGCAGGAACCTGGAGTATGTAGGATTTAAAGTTCGTTGAGCTATTAGACTCCAGGCATTAAATATAAAAAATCAGATCCTCTACGCTGTATCTTCGTTGTTCTACGAAACGCAGGGCGTACTTTTGTCCAAACGGAAGCTGAGTTATACTCGCGTTTATTTTGGCGGTCCCACGCTGGTTACAGACGGGTCTCGATCGACGTCTCTTCTCAACAAAAGTAAATCCGTCATTATATAGTGCTCATATGTCCGATATCCGTCCCGTCGAGGAGTAGTCATGGGTTTAGTCAAGGTCCGAGGCGGTGGTGCAACGACGACCAAGGTCGCCTAAGTTTCACGGTCATCAACCCGCTGACAGACAGTATCGGGTGACGGAGTCGCAATCATCGGTGTAATAATATAACTACTGTTACGATTACCGCGTGCCATGTTTACATTCTGCGACGGCGGTGAATTCGCAGATGTTTCAATTATGTTGCGCAACATAGTCACGTCCTTGCTCAGCTCTGTTGCGGCACGGTCCGATTCTTCCAAGTTTAAAACGGACGTCGGTGACTTGGCTTTCAACGTGGTGATGTCTTTCAATAATCTGGTCACGTCTACGTGATCGAATGTCATGGGAACTTGTTGAGGTAACGCACGACGAAAGTTGGGATGACATCAGGGTCGGTCTCATTGAACAGCCTGAAGATGTCTTGCAGGTCTTTCTAAGCGCGTCCATACCTGTGACGTGTGATAAGATGGATTTTGGTCACGGCTAAATCCTGCTCACACCTTCTTTACTTGGATGATCTCGTCCTCGGTGAAGCTACTTATCAGTATCTGCTCCAGAGGCACCTGGTCCATGAACTTTTTTGTTGAACAAAGGCCACGAACTCGTGGACTATGACGGTACCGGAGCGTTTAGGTTAACGCGCCATTTCCTATTATTCTCGTGCAGTAGGTATACTTACGCCACGAAAATATTGCAGGTTAGGCATTAAAGCCGCCACATAGTTATGAAGCTACTGCACTGACCAGTAGTAGATTTAAAAAGAGATGATGTGTAATATTCTAGTCAAGAATTTAATATTTTGATGAAGAACTAATAACAAATCTTAATTGATTATTTTTATTTATTTCAGGTTAACTATTGTCTTACTTGTATGTGCACAGACAGATGATCAACTTCATGTATATTCAACAAACGAACCGAACAAAATAGTATGTACAGATTATTATTTATTTTTAATTAATTGTTACTAACACTAAGATTTTCTCTAGTAGAATCATTTTACATACATAATTTCACATGGATAAACATCCGAACCAATACTATTAATATCTATATACTATCAATAATACAAATATTACAACCAAGAGTTCTAGGTTTGAATTATTAATAATTGAATTATTATAATAGGTCATGCGAGCACTTGTTCTGTGTGAGATTAGAACCCGAGGTCTCACAGTGCCTATATGAAAAGATCATCTAAAAATAACAGCTTATATAATTTGTGATATTGCAGACCCTGTTTATAGTTACCTACATGTAGATAATGAGGTCGATATAAGTCTATGTCACCCTGCTCCAATACAGTTATGGTGAACTAGAAAGTGTTCTCAAAATAACGAAGTTTATAAAGATATTGACAATCATCATCATCATTATCATTATTGCAACCCATCACAAGTGCAATGCTGAACATAGGCCTCCCGCAAGGAATCCCACAAAGTACGGTTCTGAGTTCCTGAGCCACCTGCATCCACCGACTTACTGTATATCCTACCATTTCATTACTGCATCCAGTGGAGGCCGCCCTACACTTCACTTACTGGTACGGGGCTGCCACTTGAGAACATTTCTTCCCTATATCGGTCTATTCCTTCGAGCTATATGGTCGGCCAATTGCCACTTCAGCTTACTGATCAATCGGGCTATGTTGGTTATTCTTGTTTTACTGCAGATATCTTCTTCAGATTTAAATATTTTTGAAGTCCCAGACATGGCTTCCTGCATGTTTTATTAGGTTGTCAATTGTCAATCAATCAATCAAAATCATCACAACCGATAATAGTAATATTTATTTAAGACATTATATTCATTTCTCCAATGCAACACAGTTAACTGCTGGACAGAGGTTTTTTTCTGCCGACTTCCAAAAAGGAGACGGTACTCAATTCGACAGTATGTTTTTTTTTTATGTGTGTTACCTCATAACTTTTTACTGGGTGAACCGATTTGGATGATTCTTTTTTTATTTGAAACCTGGTACGTCGCATGTAGTCCCATATGAATTTGATCAAGGTCAGACCAATAGTTTTTGAGTTATTCTTAATAACTCATATTGAAGTCAGCTGTACAAATTTTTTAATTTAAATGATATAATATACAAGCTGGCCAAGCAGACATTGTTCTGCCCTCTCCGACGGCCCTATGTTCTGTAAAAAATCCTTAAATTCGTAACAAGTTGGACCAAACTGCACACAGTGTGCAAAATTTCTTTGAAATCAGTTCAGTAGTTTAAAAGCTCATCGCGTACAAACAATGTGACACGTAATTTCTATATATTACTAGCTGGCCAGACAGACGTTGTCCTGCCCTTCCCGACAAACCTTTGTCGTATAAAAAATCCGTAAATTCGCAATAAAAATTTTTGAGGATCACTTATCCGGATAAAAACTATCCTATCTCTCAAGTTGGACCAAACAGATAACAGTGTGCAAAATTTCATTGAAATCAGTTCTGTAGTTTAGGAGTTCATCGCGGACAAACAATGTGACACGTAATTTTTATATATAAAGATTTAAATTATGCATAAGGACAAGTTTACTTTTGTTTACTCCATCAAGAATCCGTCAAATTTGTGTTCAGCATTTTGGATGTATATCAACTTCGTCATACTGCTTCAATGTGCGTTGATGGGTTCACATGTTCTTGCTAATGTTTTCTATAGAATATGGGTGACAAACAAGCACACAGTCCACCTGATGGTAAGTGGATGCTGTGGCCCATAGACATCTACACTTATTCTCAAATAAGAATCAAAATGCAGATGCGTTGTGACCCCTGAGGACTAAGATGGAAAAACTCATTTCCAGTAAAAAGGGTCTTCAGTTCTCTACACTCACCATACGAAACACAGCAGCATTAAGCTGATTCTGTGAGAGGGTGATCCTAACCCGGTCGTGGCGACCCATTCGTGCTACAACCATAATATAGCTGCTCAAAAATATGCTGCACATTAACTGCTGGCAACTTTTTTTTTATAGGATAAGGGTGACAAACGAGCACACAGTCCACCTGATGATAAGTGGTTACTGTAGCCCAAAGACATCTACATTTATCCTCAATTAAGAATCAAAATGCAGATGCGTTGTCACCCCTGAGGACTAAGATGGAATACCTCGTTTTCAGTAAAAAGGGTCTCCGGTTCTCTACACTCACTATACAAAACACAGCAGCGTTAAGCTGCTATTTTACGCTGGTATTCTGTGAGAGCGTGGTCCTTCCTCGGCCGAGCCGACCCATTCGTGCTACAACCATAATATAGCTGCAGCATGGCTCTACCACGTACAAAATTTAGGTGTATACAGCTAATGTAATGTTGGTGTATATTATTTCAAAAACATAACATGCTGACAGAGTGAATTGATATTCGTTCCATATTTATATTTCAGGTGCTGTCATTTTACTCAAGATCAGCTTGCTTGCGGCAAATTGAAGAGCCAGGCCGATCGTTTGGTTCTACATTATTGATAATATTCTTCTCTGTTGTGATATTCTATCTCGTCCTCGGAATTTGTACTAAGAAATTCTTGATGGGTGCAACGGGAGTTGAAGTGATACCAAATTTAGGATTCTGGACAGATTTACCCAATCTTGTAAAAGTAAGTGTTTTATATTTTAAAATTAAACTCGCAGTAAAAAGTTCCTAAGAATGTCATAATTTATCACTGGTTAGACTTCCACAGTTACTATGCATGTAGTAATAGTGTGTATATACCAGTGGTTTCCACGGCACGAAATAAGGTGATGGATTTCCTTTACCACCATCCCATAGTAAATAAGATTAAAAATTAGTTATACACAGTAATTAGTAACAAATATTGAGAAAACTTTTTAAACAGTTTAATAATTAATCACAAGCCAAAAATATACATTTTTATTAAGAAATAAAATAGATTGGATAAATAGACTACTTGAAGCAGAATAGAGCATAAATTAACAAACGGCACGTCTTGTTGGTGGTGGCTGACACAATTTCGCAAACGAAATCTTGGGATTGTTTTTTTTTATAAGATAAGGGTGACAAACGAGCACACAGTCCACCTGATGGTAAGTGGTTGCTGTGGCCCATAGACATCTACATCTATCCTCGATTACAAATCAAAATGCAGATGCGTCGTCACCCGTGAGGACTAAGATAGAATGTCTCGTTTCCAGTAAAAAGGGTCTCCGGTTTTCTATACTCACCATACGAAACACAGCACCGTTAAGCTGCTATTTTACGCTGGTATTCTGTGAGAGTGTGGTCCTTCCCCGGTCGAGCCGACCCATTCGTGCTACAACTATACTACTAATATAGCTACAGCATGGTTCTACCACGTAAAAAAAAAAATTATTAATAGATTGTACACTTCTTATGCGAAAAGGTAAGGTAAGGATAGATCTACGTTTTAAAAAACTACATAAATACTATATACTTTATATGATGAATATAAACTGTACATTTAATTTTTTATTTAAAAAAATATTTTTTAAAGATGTGACATTGTGCTCGACACAGTCCACCTGATGTTAAGTGAATGCTGTGGTCCTTAGACATCTTCATCTATCCTCGATTAAGAATCAGAATGCAGATGAATTATTACCCCTGAGGATTCAGATGGAATGCCTTGTTTCCAGTGAAGTATCTGCTGTTCCTCTACATGAAACACAGCAGTATTAAGCTGCTATTTTACGCTGATATTCTGTGAGAGCATGATCCTTCCTCGATGGAACCGACCCAATCACGATATAACTGCAAAAAGTACTTTTTGTGTGAAAGTTACGGCGAGCGCTTAGCCCCAGAGTTGTTCTCAGCATGCTATCAAAAAGTAATTTTACAATCATAATATAACTAACAGATCCATGACTCTACCTCGCAGAATTCTCTACTAAGTTATTCTAAATGAATTTAAAACATCAAGTTTGACTATCTCTTGCTTGGTAAGCATATCTGCTGCATCTGATATGCGGTTATTTAAATGAGTAAAAAGACATAATAATAATAATACTTTAGTTTCCGATAACATTGATTTATAATATTATAAAAAAAATAATATTAATATAAATTGCCAACAACTTCACTTTCTCCAGACAGATTCAGTAAAGTAACCAATTATTCCAAGCATTGCGAAATTACCTCAGATTTTTGCAGACCAGCACGGCTAGCATGGGCTTGGGACAAAAAATTTATCCCCGGATTATATCCACTAACAAGAGATAGAATTATCTTGTCCTTATGCCAAAGCACGGCAACGGAGCGAAGTATATCCCCGTTTGACATAACGAGTAGACATATATCCCCCGTCCGTAGCATGGAGCAAAATGAAAGATAAAAAATTATACTTTTTTGACATTTGAAAGGGACAATTTTATCCTAGTTCATTGGACGTGGATTTAAGTTTACATTTATACAAGAAATCTAAGTCTAACTCTATCACTCATATTATCTACTGTGGATATTATATCCACCGGTGTGCCCGTGCTCGAAGGGTGGATAAAACTACGCGAGGGGATAAACATTTTCTCCTTTCCCCGGGGATAACATTGTCTCCTGCCCATGCTAGCCCCACTAATGATTAAGATGCTCTTTATTCTATTAGATATTATTATTAGACATCTGTTATGTATTAGTGTACTATTTTATTTCTGTATGCTACATTTCAGGATGGTTGGGCGTTTATGATAAATGGCTTCAAGTTACCTACCAGAGGCACTGGACCGGTGACATCCCCCGACCCGAACAGTTACGACAGTATATAACATCAGAGTGAAGAGACCGTTTCACAAGGTCAACTTGTTCTTTTTGAATAGACTGATGTGTTAATAAAAAAAGACATACATGGTAAACTTCTGTTTGTTTTTTTTTCTAGCTTTTGATTATATACAATTAAATGCTGTTTATTATTAATTCTATTTAGTATATGCATTATGTCTAATAATATTCTTTATAACACATTGGTTTAATCAAACTATTTAATACGATGTTTGAGCAATAATCACTTTGTCTTATCCAATCTACTTACTGAGTAAACCTTTTGAAGAGTCCTCAACCTACGAATTATAAACCTCAATGAATCCAGTCATACATGCATCTTTACTTTTACATCTTTTTAGTACATTCAATTTTAATGCCATTAAAACAATTAAAAAGGGATTTAATAATATAAAATATTTATATAGCTTGCACTGTAGTCTGTGCTATACACAAAATATATTATTTTTAATCTCACAAAAAACGGTTCGAAACATTGTAGGAAATAATGAAAAAAAAATTTAATCAAGAACGACCAAAATACTTGCGACAATTTCTAAAATTTTGAGGGTTATAAAAAACAGTGAGAGCAAAAAAACCAAGCAAATAAAACTATCAATATTTTAATTTATTTAATTTATTATGCCTCAACGCCTCATATCAAAGACGTAGACTTATGGGGAAGTAGTTCTTATTATCATCATCATCATCATTACAGTCCCTCACAAGTCCACTGCTGAACACAGCCCTCCCCCAAGGAATGCCACAAAGCTCGGCCCTGAGCCACCTGTATCCATCGACTTCCTGAATGTTTTACCAAGTCGTACTCCCATCTAGTGAGGGGTCACCCTACACTTCGCTTACCGAAACGGGGCTGTACTCGAGAACCTTTTTCCCCCATCTGGTGTCTGTCCTTCGAGCTATATGGCCGGCCCATTGCCACTTTAGCTTACTAATCCGTTGGGCTATGTCGGTCACGCTCTTTGCTGCGGTTATCCTCATTTCTAAGTTTATCACTCAGAAAAACACCGAGCATAGCCCTCTCCATAGCTCGCTGGGTGACCTTGAGCTTCCTTATACGGCCAGTAGTGAAGAATCACGTTTCAGAACTCACTGGCAACACGCACTGGTTGTACAATCTAGTTTTGAGGGTTTGAGGTATGCCTGACGAGAAGATGTGTCGTAATATCCCGAACGCTGCCCAGCCGAGTTGAATCCGTCGATTGACCTCTCGGTCGAAGTTGCACTTATCAAGTCGGACTATTTGTCCCAGGTAAACATACTCGTCAACAACTTCGAGCTTAGTGCTCCCAACAACTACCGGCATAGGTGTGATATGAATGTTTCACATCATCTTTGTTTAGCTTATGTGGGGATGTTTGCCACAGTTGCCACGCTTGGCGAGCGGTTTGGCAACCACAGCTTTTTATTGTACTATTGCTGTTATCTGAAAGAAGTAGGGAAGTACTTCTACGGAGACATTTCTTTCACTTAGTGGGTCAACAAAGGGAAGCAGAAATAATTACCTCATTTAAATTGCCAAGGGAACCTCATTTGAAAATTTATTTCAATCTTGTTGTCTCTCCTTAGTGTTAATTTGTAAATACCTGTTTAAGCTTAATGGCCTTTCCATTATATGTTAAGGATTTTTAAGTAGTCAGGAATGAGTACACGGTGTAACAGTAAATATATTTTTACGTATTCAATATAATAGCATGTAAACCAAGTGCATAATATCGTTTCATCTACGTTATCTCCACTACCATTTGCATTTTTTTTTTGTTGAGTTAGTTTTATATGTTACTACCTGGCCAGGCAGACGTTGCTCTGCCTGTTCCGACGACCCTTTTTCCAATAAAAAAATCCATAAATATGCATCCAAAATATTGAGGGCAATACACGTTTACAAAATGTCATTGAAATCAATTCAGTAGTTTAGGAGTTCATCACGGAAAAACAATGTCACATGTAATTTTTATATATAAAGATAGATGTTTATTATTTAATTATAAAAAAATCTTAAACTCTATCTAAAATTACGTATGAAATCTAAAGTTTAATTAAATGCGTTGTCAGAATAATGCTTACTACTTGTGGTAAGGGTATATACCATATATAGGGTTTTCAAACGCTGATAATTAATTATAATATCTATAATTTTCTTTAAATCCTTGTGGTTTTATGTAGCTTAAAAAATGTAAATAAAAAATAAAATATTCTGTACTTTGTTCTTGCACGTAAATAATCGTAAAGGAACTATTATTATGTTTCGTAAATATTACATAATTGTGGATGCGTTGCGAGTATTTTCTTTGTAAGAAACAAACACAATAATTATTATTTTCATAATTTGGTCTATGACTGCAATTTGTTAAACTGTAGTCTGTGATATGCAATGCTATATTTTAATCTAGTTTGTCAATCTCCCATGGCTGATTAGCTATAAAGAGTTTATAAAGTAGCTATTTGAAATAAATTACAGTAACACAACATGACAACAACCAACTTGGCATTTCTTATATTCGATCTAGCGCCTTTTTCTGTCTACAGCGCTGAAACAGCTATCAAAGCGAAGACCCGCTACGACGTGATTCCACAGTAGACATGCGAATAATTTTCCGTTTTTTTTTTTTTAGAATCAAGCGAATGAAAAAAATTTCAGCGTATTGTGTGGTTTTCTAACTTTAATTAGAACTTTCGAATATTTTGTATAAATCCAACATGATTTAAGCAGTGAATGCATGTTGTGACATTTAAATATATCAATTTAATTCTTACATAAATATACAAATATAATGTATACAATGATTGCGTCGATTTAAAAAATCTTGTTTTTCCTATTCCGCACACTTGTACAGAAATACTGTATGATATTTTTTATACCTACATGTATGATACATATCTTTAAATAAATATTTGTATACTATCCCATCCTAACTGCTTTCGGATCAATTATATCTTGTGTAATTTTTAAGTGTATTTTGTAATCTTTACTCATACAGAATTTACTAACACATCAGTATATTATGCATAGATACTTGAAATCTGCTGTGTTCTTAAAAAGTTTTATATTAGTACTGAAATAGAAAAATAATTTTTTGATTCAATATATATTTGATTATGAACAATAGTTATTGAAAGTCGTTCTAATGTTTAATTTACCACTTGCTCGGAAAATACCCCTGTAATGGGCCACTCAGCTACACTCATTTTATAAAGGTTTGTCAGTTTATAAGCATATATTATGTTCTACAATTACATAATTACACATATCACATTAGAAATAGCTTGGTAGCGATCACCTCATTCTCAGGTAATTAAATATACAAGGGTTATTATCATATATATGATTATATATGTATACATACAACCTTTTTCATTTATTTTTGTCAGTTTAATACTATGTCAAACTTTCTCCATAGTTCGTTTAATGAGCCTTTGTAGGTGAAGGTCTCTTTTGCTATACCAACCAATCCAATAAGAAAGAATAGAAGGCCAGTGCCCAGCAGTAAGACGTTTGTAGGCTGTTATTTTACTTTTTCGTTTTAAATTATGTTACATATTTGTTTATAAGATAGTTTGTTATTTCTCATAAAAAGTAGCTTAGTGTGTGTTTTATCATTTTATTAGTTGTGTGCTTAGTAGATACATATATGAAATTATGAAACACTGGAAAATGACGAAGTAATTTTTTTGTGTTTTCACTTTGTATATGTATTTTAAAAGTCCGTCGTAAGTCATATTTACTAATATTATTTATAATACGAATTTTAGAACAACACTTTTTTAAATATTTTTGTAGTTAAATGTATGAACAAAAAATAAATCACTATCGAAATAGTTTTAAATGTGCCTTCAAATAAGCGCACTGGCTGGTGGTAAAATTGAGAATCGTTTATAATTGTAATAATAAACTGTATTCAATTAAATGTATATATTAATAAGTACATAGTTTATATTGAAATGTTTGTACATAATGATTTAAGCATAATATTATGTGTACAGTAAAAATACACGTGATAATAATGCTAAAATATCTTGAAATTAAAAAAAAGTGGAGTCTTATATGTTATAATATACCTAGTATGATAGTTTATGAGACGTGCGTGGGTCACTTGCAGTGAGACATGTTTGTGTAGAACAGTACGGAGGTTTGTGTGGGTACCTCAAATCCTCAAACCGTATGGTATTTGCACTAATGACTCATTATTCAATAAATAAGAAAAAGTATCGCGAAACAAGATTTGTGCTACCGCCTCCGCGCATCAATCTATTAAACAAACTTAGAAGTCTTACTGCGCGACTGAAGTACAACGCTCATAATCGTACCGTTTATTCTACATATAATTTTGCAGGACAAGGTTGGGTGCCAAAAATGTAGTTGAACCTTTTCCTTAAAGATTGAAAAGAAAATGTGTACTTTGACTTATCATTTTTAAATTTCTATCTTTCAGAAATTTATTATTTTTTAAAGTTATTTATTGTTCAATATTGATAAGTTTTATAGCAGTTTTAAAATTGGGCCTAAATTTAAACATCGAAGTATCGATCATTATTGAAATGCAAGCTTGTTTATTGTATTCATCTAAAATAAATTTTTGAAAACTAAAACTTTTTTGTCTTCATGAATAAAATAAAAATTAAAAACACTGGTATTGTTGTAATATAATATAGATTTGCTTGTATTATTTGCTCAAATTACAGTTACTTTAAAGATTGTTTATTAATAATTTTGAACTAATAAACTTTATACTTTTGTTTTAAAAATATGTTAAATGAGATATTATTTATTATATTATATTAGATAAAACACCGTACTCTATTATATATTGACATTGTTGTGTGCACAATATTTTTGAGAAATGTAACCTAAAATATTTTGTGTTCAGTATTTGTGAAATCATACATCTACTCTTACATATTGTGTGTTTAAAGTTGCTGAATAAAGAAAAAAATATTGAATGCTCATTAATTTATTTTACATTATCCTCTTATAAACTGTGCGGAG